AGGCTTGATGGTAGGCTCCTACCATCCCAGCTATTCAGGAGACTCAGGCAGGAGGATTCTTTGAGCCCAGGAGTTGACATTATAGTGAGCTATGATCGGGCCACTGCACTCTAGCATGGGTGACAAAGTGAGAGATCCTGTCTCTTTAAAAAAACAAGAAACAATAACAACAAAAAGAAATCCTGATGACCTCTGATCACTCAGGCATACTGGATGGACTCAGCTGTGTCCTGTCAGCTGGACCACAAGGTGACTCTGAGAACACTGCTGGTGATCAGGCAAGTGGCCACCTTGAAATTCACTAGGCAGCAGCTGTCATGCCCATTTTACAGACGTATAAATGGAGATGGAGTGAGATGACGTGACTTGCCCAGGGTGGAAATCTGGGAAGTCAGTTGGGACAGGTGATCTCTCCAGCTCCCCCACCTTAGAAGGCCCAAGAGTGGTCCAGTGGAGATGGGGGGAGGAAGGGGTGTCCTGGGGCCTCACCTGCAGCTTCCAGATGTGCTTGCTCTCCTTGGACACCTGGCCCACCGTCTCCCCCATGAGTGCAATGAGCATGTTGAGGAGCAGCACAAAGGTGAGGATGATGTAGGTGACGAGCAGAATGATGAAGACCACAGGGTACTTGGTGCTGTTCAGCATCTCCAGGTCACCTATGCCTATGGTCAGCTTGAAGAGGTCCAGGAGGAAGGTGCTGAAGGTGTCGCTGTCACGGCATGAGGGGTACGTGGGCACCGTGCAGTTGGTCGGGTCCCCGTTGCATACCTTCATGTTGGCACATGGCTTTAGGAGGGAGACCAGGGCTGCAGGAGGGACGGAGGTAGTGGCTGAGAGGCTGAGTGGGAGGACGCACGCTGAGAGATGGGGGATGGTGTTCCCATTCGATGATGGGGAAAACTGAAGCCTGGTGAGGGGAGAGTGCTGGCTCATGGTCACCCAGCATGTACGCTAAGCCAAGAGTAGGACCCAGGCCCTGCTGATTCCCAGACCTCTGCTCTGGCCACAAACTCTTGCTGATAAGGAAGCGGTTTTCAGGGTCTAGTCCAATGGTTTCCAACCAGGAGCAATTCTCCCCCCAGGAAGACGTTTGACAATGTCTATAGGCAACATGTGAGGTTGTCACAACTAGGGGTGGAGATGCTACTGGCATCAGTGGGTGGGGGCCAGGACTGCTACTAAACAACCCACTACACTCAGGATAGCACCCACAACAATGGGTTCCCTGGTCCCACATGTCAGCAATGTCAAGGCTGAGAAACACTAACATGGCCTATCATTCTCAAAGTGTTAGAACACTGGGGTGCCAGCATTCTCAGGGGTAAGCTCTCTCTCATGCCTCTGTCTCCCAGCCTACACCAACACAGAGATGAGGGGTGGTGGCTAAAACCAGGCACTCCCCATGCAGGCATCTCAAGTTAATCGCAGTGCTTATCTTTTCCTAGTAAGCCCAGATGAAGCTTCAGAATTCTTCTCAATAGTTTTGCAGCAAGAACCTGTCCCTTAACCGGGAAGGGCAGAGTGCACGAGGAGTCTCAGCCCCTTCAGTCACTGGGGTACAGAATGTCACAGTGCCTTTAATCAGTGATTAGAGTAAGCAGGTTTCAACTTATGTGAAGTGGCTGCTGAAACACAGTGTTGAGAAAGATTCTTAGTCTTTGTCTAGAATCATCAGAAAAAATAGTTCTGTGATCCACTAGCAATGTCTGCCATGGGCATCAAAGTGAGAAACAGCAACACATGTTCCCTGTCTATGTTACGTGAGCCTCAGAACTGGGATCTAGAGTATCCTAGCTTGAGAATCCCTGGGACCAAGCTGACCACTAAGTTGCTACTTTAACTCCTAAGTTTCTGCAGTGGAATTGAAGGAGGGCTGGACTCCTGATCTGAATCCCAAACTTTGGTTGACTGCTTGATACTCTGTTAACTTTTTCCTATACCTGGGAGGGGAAAGCTGTACCCTGTCCCTACCTCTCCAAAATAATCCATATAGGACTTTGGCCACCATTATGGATTAAAATGTCTCTACCATCGGAGTCCTACTACGAGGCTGGTCCCCAGGTGATCTACTCAGATATAAATATGACCTGGTCCAAAGTGAATTGGTCACTCCACTTTGGATGCTGGGCATTGATAGTAGATCACCCACCCTCTGGGGACCAGCCCAGTGGCTTGGACAATTTCCCCAGCCTTAGTCCTTTCCTCATGGCCTAGGCCATTGAGGTCCCTGAATGCCAGCCTGACATCATGGAGAAAGCATGGTACAGGTAGCTGATATCGGGCTTTAAGGAAAGACCTGGGCTGGTAGATTAATTATTAAATCTCATCTTTCCACATATCCATGCCCCTCAATGCAGCTTTGAGGCTTTTCCCATCAAAAAGTGGAGCCTGTTTCCGCATCCTCTGAATCAGGGCCTTGTGACTTGCTTTAGCCAACAGAGTCAGGTAGCAGTGATGCCATGGCAGGTTGTGGCCTTGAACACTTCCACTCACATTCTTAGAACCCTAAAACTACCATGTGAACAAGCCTGCTGGCTGGAGGATGAGAGACCACATGGAAGGAAGCCCAACCAAGGCCATCCTAGCTAGACCAGGCAGCCAGCAGCCAACCCACCAGCTGACCACAGACATGGGAGATCATTCAGGCCCAGCACAACCCCCCAGCTGACCTGGAGACTCACAACCAATAATAAAAAGTTAGTGTTTTTAAGCCACTAAGTTTTGGCTACTTTTGCAATGATAGCTTAATATGCCAGTTTTACCATTTATTAGCTTTTGAACTTGGGCAAGTTCATTAACTTGTCTAAGGTTCAGTTCCCTTATCTGTAAAGGGGGATAATAAAGGCAGTTGGCTCACAGGCTTGTTGAGAGGGTTAAATGAGGTGAGGATGGAAAGTGCAAAGACTACTGCCTGGCACACAGTGGGAACTCAACCGTGCAGCTTATGGTCCTCACTACCGCCCCACTCCAGCGCCCCCCACCCTGCCAGGCCCCTGGGCACCTAGAGCTCACCTGAAGCGTAGCCAATCATGAAGAGCAAGTAGACAAGCAGGAAGCGGAAGAGGTCTTTGAAGAGGATCTAAAGACACCGAGGGGGTTATGGAGGCACAGAAGAGGCAGGCACAGAGTTTCTTGCCTTCCCTTCCCCTCCATCCCAAACTTTCTTTCCAACCCCACTCTGTCCCCCCCCAATGCCCAGACCCCCTGCCCTACCCACTGTCCTCACAGAGACACCCCCCCTCAAGTCTGCAGGCACAGAAGGCATGCACGTGGTATGTGAGGCTCCCCAGAGGGAGCCACACGTGTCCAGAGGGTTCTCCCCCAGTGCCCACCTTCTGGATCATGATGCTATAGGTCCCCGTCAGCTTCAGCCCACGGGTGAAGTAAAGGGCGTTCATCCATCCCAGGACCAAGGCAAAGACCATCACAGCCAGGTAGGCCTCAATCCCTGCCAGGTAGAGAGCTGCAGAGACGATCACCAGCACGGAGTAGATGAAGCTACGGGTAGCAGAGACCACAAGAGAGGCCAGAGGAGAAAGGATTGTGAGGCCCTGGAGGGGGAGACGTGCTCCCAAGCCCTCCAGGGTACCAAGACATCCCATTACCTCTTGGACCCCCAGAAAAGAAACAAAGTGGATTAGCAAGGTTCCTCAGCTTTCTGTTAACCAGAATGCTCAGACAATTGTCAACTAATGTGTATATAATGGCCCTAAGGCCCTACAAGACCCTAAAGTGATGCCCTTTGGAATTGCCAGAAAAAGATTTAGTGGCGTTCGGTGAGTGAAGATTTTGTGAATTTTATTGTTCTCCAACTCTAAGGCAAATGGAAAAGATGTAGCACCCATTTTCCTCCCTTTTACTTGTGCCCTGGGCAGACATCATCAATCACAGCACTCTTTCCCACTAAACACAGACACAGCCCCCAAATTCTTAACATGGCACTCTAGGCAGACATTAGCAATCAATCCCCAATAGAAGAGCTTAAAATTACTTCTATCCCTGGAATATATGCTAACCAGAATATTTCATTCACCAGAAGACCCTGCTGCTTGACCTTGGCTCTGTCCTCACTTTGGGTTAGAGTTGCCCCCAACACTGATGACCTACCAGCCCAATACTGCCTTCCTTACCCAGGAGCTGCTGGCCTAGGGGCCTTACTCACTAGAGCAGCTGGAAGGAGCCATCGATGAAGAGAGAGTTCACTCCAGGGCATTTCTTCATGAATAAGTCTTTGATCTGGAAAAGGGGAGGAGGCACATGGAAGGCGTGGAGCCAGTAGGAGGGCAGAGGTGAGAAGGGAGGAGATGGGGGAAGAGCCAGCAGAAAGGGAGGCAGAGTCCCACACAGAGAAGGGGGGAGAAAGCAGAGAAGAATACGGGGTTGGAGAAGGAGGCAGAAGAAGAGAAAGGGGAATGAAAGGAGGAGGGAGGGAGGAACGGCAAGTCGGGGGTGGAAGAAGAGGAGGGTGGAGGCGGGCAGGCAGGGTGGGAGTATGGGAGTCTAGGCACTCACGTTGGTGAAGAAGAAGAGGACCCCAGTGAGAAGCGTGATGATCTCGCCAGCCAGCCTCAGGTAGTCCACCGTGGTGCGGTAAGGGTATGGCGGCTGGGGGACCAGGGTGCACAGGTCCTCACCCAGACCCTCCAACATTTGGCCCCAGATCCAGATGTTCCCGCAGACCCTGACCATCTGGATCCTGGAGCACCTTCTCCTTCACTCTCTTCTTCCGGCTCAGAACCACCCCTGGGTGTTGGGGGCACCTCCCCAACCTGTGCCTAAGCCCATGAGGACCCAGGAGGACACGATTGAACCCTAGTCCTGAGTGGTCCAGCACCTGCCCCAGCCCTTGCCCAGTCCCCAGGTACTTACGGTGCCCTCTACCGGCTGGTAGTAGGCAGTGAGGGTGAAGATGACCATGGCGCACAGGTAGGAGACCACATTGATGTAGAAGGAGACAGCCCCAAACTTGCGCCACTTATCCCGTAGGAGTTCATTGATGGGCTCCACAGCCAGCATCTCATGGCGGTTCTGTGAGAGGCACAGTGGTCGGGGCGGGGACCACATTTCTGAGGTGGAGGGTCTGGACAGATTGACTCCAACACACCTTCCCTTCCTGCTCCCAAGACCACATTCTCTCCTACATTCTTCAGCTGCACTTAAGAAGTTACAGGGATCTGGATAATATTGAGAATCAACTCCAAACTCTTAGACTCAGGGTTGGAGGCTCTGCCTAATTCTGCCTCAACTTACCTTTCCACCCTAGGCTAGCATCAGAGAACTCAGTACCGGACAGCCCCGTAAAAACATTTATTCTAAGTCCAGACATGGTGGCTCATGCCTATAATCTTAGCACTTTGGGAAGCTGAGGCAGGAGGATCTCTTGAAGTCAGGAATTTGAGACCAGATTGAGCAAAACAGTGACACCCCATTTCGACATGAAGTAGAAAAATTGTCTGGGCATGTGGTGTGCCTCAGTCCCAGCTGAGGCAGGAGGATTGCTTGAGTCCATGAGTTTGAGGTTGCAGTGAGCTGTGATCACACACTTGCCCTCATGCTCAGGCAACAAAGTAAGATCTTATCTAAAAAAAAATATATACATTTTCATGGTTCCCAAATTCCAATCTGGGACCAAGCTGCTGGTAGCAAAATCCCCTATGTAGCTAAAAATATAAATCCCTGGGCTCCAAAGATGATAAAATGACTGGACTAACCACAATTCTGTAATCTGTCCAGGGCAGACATCACTAATTGAGCCCTACACAGTTACACTCACATAGTTTTCTGGGCAGATGCCACCAACCATTCAGTTTGCACCTGAAATACTAAACCTCCTGCCACCCTTGCTCTAAATCAAGTTGGTCACTAATTTCAAAGGTGATGGAAATGAGGTCTACAAGGAAGCCAAGTTCACAGAGCCAGTAAGCTCTGTGGAGGGGAGGGCTGGAACTGGAACCGAAACCGCCTATCCGCAGTCCCTACCATATTCTGCCCCCTTTGTGCAGTATCCTGTCCCTCTAATAACTTGAGTTTCTTCATAACCATGATTTGTGCAGCAATGTCGCCACAAAGATGCCATGGTAGTGTTCTTCCCCATAGTTAAAAGGCAGAAACAAACCCAAATGAGCAACAATCGAAGAATGGTTTGTTAGCACACACGGTACATTTACATGCAGCCACATGGTACATTTACAAGCAGCAGTGATATTGTGGAAGAATATTTAATGGTGCAGAAAGATGTTCACAAAATACTGTGTAGGGCGGAAAGGGGTTTTCTAAACTTCATATAATAACCACCATTGAGAGTAGCTGATACGTGTTTACTCTGTGCCAGGCTGTTCTAAAATTAGAACATTTGGCCTTTCCAATGAACTTATTAACCTTGGGTTACAAATAAGGAAGCTGAGACCCAGAGAGACAGAGTCACTTGTCCTGAGTCACATGTGGCAAGCTTCAGAGCCAGGATGCCAACCCAGTTCTACCTGCCCTCAAAGTCCACCTTCCCACAAGCCTTGCTCGTTTCCCCACGTGCCAGACGCTGCTCTGGACACTTAGTTGGCACCTTCTTTTGCACTTAGCTAACAGATCCACCACTCTGGGTCCCAGAAGCCTGGGCTCCCCCACCCAGTCCCAGAGCCCCATCCCTGCTCCGGCTGTACCCCTCCTTCCCCATCCCATCCAGCACCATGATACCCACCTCAATCTTGCTATTGTACACCAGGATCTCCAGCACTGAGGCCTCTTCCCCACACGTGTCCAGGGAGGAGAGGTCGTACAGGGAGGAATACACCGGCCCATAGGCCCAGTCCTTGAACTTGCGGGACAGGTGCCGCGTGTCCTCATCTGTCACCTCCCGCCGGATGATGTGCTGAAAGATCTGCATGAGAAGAAGGGGGGAGAGTCAAGGGATCCAGGGAGGGACACTGGGGGCTGGGCACAGCTCATCAAATGGGGCCCCCACAGAGAACAGGACGGAAGGGAGGAAGAGATTAACTGAGCAGCTACTATTCGCTGAACCCCTTCCTCATGCCATCATGCTTAATCCTAGTTCTTAACCGTCTTGGATTACAGATGGAGCTCAGAAACGTGAAGGGCACTCCAGAAGCCACTCCACCAGCCAGCCAGAGCCAGACTGAGCCTGAGTGTGCCTGCAACATCTTAACTGTAATGACTATCCTCTTCGTGTAGGTCAAATAGCAATGAACCGATCTACTAATATATAAATTATAATAAGAACGATCACATCCAGCCCTTCCCATCACCATATCTGAGCGGGGCTGGGAATTGCCTGCACATGACTTTAGGAGGGGAAAGTCAGAATTTAAATCCAGGCCTTTTCTACTGCCTCAGAGCCCTCATATAACTGCAATTTTAGTAACTTTAGCTAGATTTTACTTCTTCTTTCTTTTTCTTTTTTTTTTTTTTTTTTGAGATATAGTCTCACTTTGTTGCCCTTAGTAGAGGGCCATGGTGTCACAGTTCATAGCAACCTCAAACTCCTGGGCTCAAGCAATTCTGTTGCCTCAGCCTCCCCAGTAGCTGGGACTATAGGCACCCGTCACAATGCCCTGGCTATTTTTTGTTGTTGTTGTTATAGTTTAGCAGGCCCAGGCCGGGTTCATACCCACTAGCCCTGGTATATGTGACTGGCGCCCTTAACCACTGAGCTACAGGTGCTGAACCATACTTTTTATTTCTTTAGAGACAAGATCTTGTTATATCACCCAAGCAGGTCTCGAACTCCTAGCTAAAAGTGATCCTCCCACCTCAGCTTTCCAAGTCACTGGGATTACAGGCATGTGTCCCTGAACCTAGCTGTTTTTGCTGTATTTTAATAGTTTAATGATCCCTACCATATATTGAGCACTTACGACCTATCCTGGGCTTTTTATTAAGAACTTTATGTGGATTGCTTTATTTAATTGTCACAACATTATACCAGATGGCATTATTATTACCTCCATTTTATAGACAGGGAAACTGAGGCATGGAAAGATGAGGTGAGATGCCTAAGGTCACACGATGGGAAGTGGAAGGGCTTGGACAGGGGCTCCTGCCTCTAGATGAGTGTTTTTCAAACGTTTTTATCTCACGGCACACTTGAACCTATATTTAAACTTCTGCAGCACACTTAAATTATATTAATCATAAAAAAAGAGTAAAAAAAAGAATGTACTTGCTGTGCTTTGAACTTCTTCTGGAAACAATTAATGATCTTTAAAATTTTTCAAAGCACACCACTTGCGCCTTAGCAGACCAGTTGAAAATCACTGCTCTAGGGTGCTCCAGGCTAGGCTCTCAATCGGGGTAATGGTGCCCCCCAGAGGACAATCTGGCAATATCTGGAGACATTTTTGATCATCACAAGTGTGGTGGGGGAGATGCTACTGGCATCTAGTGGGGAGAGGCCAGGAATGCTGCTCAACATCCCACAGGGCACGGGACAGTCCCCCACCACAAAGAACCAGCCAGTCCAAAATGTCAGTTGTGCTTAGGTGAGAACCTGTCCCCAGGCCCAGAGAGGGAAAGGAAATGGTGCAAGGCCACTCAGCCAGTTAGTAGCTGGAAGTACCACAAGCTAGAGCTCTGAGACTTAGTTTTCTATCAATGGTTTACTTAACCTGGCTGGTGAGGGTGGAGTGACCACTCCCCTCTAGGGAGGTGAGAAGCTCAGGAATGTAGCTCTGCTAGATACTAGGGAGCCACAGCAGGTTCTTGAGCTGGGGCATCTACACATGGGGTTGGCATGATGGGATATGGGTACACAAATTAGTAAAAATAAATGTCAGCAGCAGCCCCTCCCTGTGTGTGTGTGTGCGTGTGTGTGTGTAGAGGGACAACAAGTGGGTCAGAGGTGGCCCCCTGAAGCCTCACACTTACCCCAATCTTGCCTGTCTTGGCAGCCATCATGAGGGGAGAGAGGCCATCATTGTTGAGCACAGCCTCCAGGTTGCTGTCTGGGAAGAGGCGGGCACATTTGAGCAGCAGCAGGTCGTACATCTTGGTGACAAACTTGGTGTTCTCACGGGTGTTGTCTGCGATGGCCACCAGCGCATGCAGCACCGTGTTGCCACGAGAGTCTTGCCGCCGCATGTCTGCCTTCTTGTGGGGGTTCTCTGTCAGGTAGTTGACGATGTGAGGCTGGTTGGTGCAGGCAGCCAGCGACAGAGGCAGCTCACCTGTGGGCCAGAGGGCATGGCAAAGAGATCAGTAAAAGGCACCCGGGTGGAGCTCTGCCTTCAGGCACTTGGGGGGACATACACCACGATGATGGGCACAGCCCCAACAGGTGCACTGTGTGTGGACTGCACGTTTCTGTGGGTGATGCTGGGGAGATGGGTGTGGCTATTTGAGGGCACAGCCCTACAGTTTGGAGGCTGCGAGGGTAACATACGATGGTGGAATTCTTTGTGTGACTTTGTTCCTGAGGCCTACAGAATGTGTGCCTTTAAGCAGACATGAAATTCAAAATATTTCATTGGTCCAACAGTGACCACACGATGTGGTCCCGGTGTAAGTCGGACTGAAGGATGAAGACAGTAACGTGCTGGGCACCAGCACCTCATCACAGCCTGAGGGGACTCTCATGATCCCCCGTACAGATGGAGAAGCCAAGGCTCAAGGAGGTGAGGTCACAAGGCTGGGAAGTAGCAGAGGGAGGGCTTGAACCCAGGTCCCTGACTCTCCCCTGGCACTTAGACCTCAGAGGCGAGAACAATGTGCCACACGGTTCTGGGTGATAAGGGAGCTCTCAGGGCTGCAAACACCAACCTGTACCCTGGTCTCCCACGCCCAAGCTTCCCCACCATGTGCTTTCAGCACCCCCACTCCCACCCCTCCTCACCAAAGTAGAAGTAGCCGCCCTCATCCTTGGGCTGGAAGAAGCGCCCACGGGCCTGGGCATGGACGTCGGCTCCCTGGGCCACAAGGAGCTCCACGTAATGCTTACACCTCCGCTCAATAGCGATGTGCAGAGCCGTCTGACCTGGGGGCAGGGGAGGGGTCATTGAGGACTCCAGCAGGGCTAGGGCTTGCTCTGGGGTGAGGGTAAGGTACAGAATGTAGGAATTGGGGTGGGGGCTGCAGGTAGGGCCTTGGCCAGCAACACCCAAGGTCTACAAGTGGGGCTGCAGATGAATGTGGAAGCTTTGATGCAGTCCCAGATCTGTTTCATTGTGGAGGCAGAATTTTAAGCCCAAAGTTTTATCTACTTTGTGGAATCCCAAATGTGGGAACTTTATAGACTTAACAACAGTATCTCGGTCTGGTAGCATTTTGGACTTGGGATATAAAATTCATGACTTTTAATCTTTTTTTTGAGACAGGATCTTGTTCCATTACCCAGGCTGGGGTACAGTGGTGTGATTATAGCTCTCTGCAACATTGAACTCGTGTGCTCAAGTGATCCTCCTGCCTCAGCTTCCCAAGTATCTGGGACTAAGCATGTGCACCATCACACTTGCCTAATTTAAAAATATTTTTTGTAGGCTCGGCACCCGCAGCACAACAATTACGACATCAGCCATGTACACCTAGGCTGGCAGGTTTAAACCTGGCCTGGGCCAGCTAAACAACAATGACAACTGCAACCAAAAAATAGCAAGGCATTGTGGCAGGCACCTGTAGTCCCAGCTACTTGGGAGGCAGAGGCAAGAGTCTTAAGTCCAAGAGTTTGAGGTTGCTGTGAGCTGTGACACCACAGCACTCTACCAAGGGCAGCATAGTGAGACTCTGTCTCAAAAATAAATAAATAAATAAATAAAATAATTCTTGTAGAGGTGGAGTCTTGTTAGACTTTTGATAGAAACAGGGTCTAGCTCTGGCTCAGTCTGATCTCAAACTCCTGGGCTCAAATGATCCTCCCACCTTGACCTCTCAAAATGCTGAGATTACATGTGGGAGCCACTGTGCCCAACTAACTTTGAATGTTAATATCTAGACATTTGAAAAGTCAACTTGGATTCTGGAATCTCAGAATCCAGATCTGGACCTGGGCATGGTGGCTCACACCTGTAATCCTAGCACTTTGGGAAACTGAGGCAGGTGGACTGCTTGAACTCAGGAGTTTGAGACCAGCCTGAGCAAGAGCAAGACCCTATTTCTATCAAAAATAGAAAAACTAGCTGGGTGTTGTAGTGGGTACTTATAGTCCCAGCTACTTAGGAGGCTGAGGCAAGAGGCTCGCTCAAGTCCAAGAATTTTAGGTTTCTATAAGCTATGACACTATGGCATTCTACCCATGGGGACAGAGTCTCATGCCCCACCTTCCCCCAAGAAAAAGAATCCAGAGCTGGGAAGCCTGTACCAGCCGGCTTTGCCTCTCAGAGCTTCTCACTCATGGACTCATTATTGTAGAGCTTCAGGGTATCTAGCATTGCAGCCTCCTAGGACCAGACTCCCAACTTCACAAATCACTAGGCTCACTGAATCTCAGAATTTTGGAATCTTTGATCCTGAAATTCAGATCAAAGATCCTAAAAGTTGGAAGGGGTAGTGATTCCTTCATCCATCCATCCATCCATCCATCCATCCATCCATTCAACAATCAGTCCCTGGTTACAGCAGTCCAACTTTTTTTAAACGAGGGACTGGTTCACGTAAGACAATTTTTCCCTGGACTGGAGGAGTAGCAGGAGATGGTTTCCAAGCCCACTCCATCTCCACTGCAGATCATCAGGCATTAGATTCTCATAAGGAATGTGCAACCTCAATCCCTCTAATGCACAGTTCACAATAGGGTTCATGCTCCTGTGAGAATTTAATGCCACAGCTGATTTGACAGGAGGCGGAGCTCAGGCAGTGATGTGAGTGATGGGGAGTGGCTGTAAATGCAGATGAAGCTTTGCTCACTCACCTGTCACTCACCTCCTGCTGGGCAGCCCAGTTCCTAACAGGCCATGGACTAGAACTGGTCTGCAGCCCCGCAGTTGGTGACCTCAGCCTGAGTACATGATGGCACTTGTGGCCTAGACCAAAACTCTCAGGAGTCAGTGCCTCTACCATACTCTCTGCATCACCCCCACCTGGCCAGGGTACCCACCTCGGTAGTAGATGTCGCGGAAGGGTGAGTTGATGAACTCGCGCATGTTGCCAGTGCGCTCGGCAATGTCCAGGAGCACAGGGATGGTGTCATTGCGGCCATTGCTCAGGTTTAGCAAGGCCTTGGGCAGGCAGGTCTTCCCTGTGGATGGCTCTGAGAGGAAAGACATAGAGGATGAGGTGGTGCTCTGACCTGTGGCCCTGAACTGCTGGGCCCTGGACACAGAACACTGGGCAGGGAGTCAGAGGTCCTGGATCCAGACCTGGCTGTCACACATCCTCTTTGAGCCTGTTCCTCCATCTGTCCAGTGGGGACATCATGGGCTACTCTCTCTGCCTCCCATGGTGCTAGGAAGGTCAAATAAACTTAAGGGGGTAAAAGTGCTTTAAAATATGAGAGGCCACAGTCTGTAGATTGGTATTTATTTAATTAATCATATTTGGGAAGAATTTTTTAAAGGCTTTGTAATCAAATGGTGGGGATGCTGGGTTAAACAAGGCCAATTATATTTCTTTGCTACAGGACTTCGCAGAGTCTTTAATAAGCCAACAGGGACTGCGAACCTCTAAAAGCAACAAACACTAGGCAATGTTTGCCCACATGTTGAAACAGAATACTTTTTCCATGAAGCATACTGATGCTCCCAGAGGGGAACAGAGGGGTGCAGCATTCCCTAAAGTGACTGAGTGCCATAGTGGATGTGAAATTACCTTAGGAGGGGCAGGGAAGGATTGTGGGGTTCCAGGGATGCAGCAATAATAAGACTGAAAGTTTTAACCGTTGTCAGGTCTCTCTCACGAAGTCACATTTCCATTTGGTACTAATGGGTCCCTAACACCTCTCATGGACGCTTGCTAACATCCCTTTGCAATTTTCTTTCTTTTATAACTTCTATGGTTTCACGAGTTGATGTATATCTCAAAAGAATAAGTCAATGCAACAAGTGAATCAGGCACAAGGCAAAATCACACAGGGGGCTCAGAAATGGCCAGAAGGTGGGAGACGCAGGTGGGGGTTAAGGTGCCTGCTCTGAGCCAGGGATCTTGGAGTTCACATTCTAGCTTTCCACCCAACTCCTGTGTAGTCCTTTCTCTCCTTAGGTTCCTTTCTGGCTAAATTGAGGCTATGAAGGGAAATCAATGAACTAATCAATATTTGTTGGTGAGCTTGGTGCCAGGCAGATAGGAGTCCTCAATGACTATTACTATTGCGGTTATCATGCCACTGGGGCAGGGGGACTTCAGGATCTGTCTCCCTAGACTCCAGGGGTTGGGGAGACCTGTATCCCAGTCCTAGCCTCCCCAGAAGGGGCTTCTTGTTCAAGCCTGGCTCCTGGCTGTTTCCTGCTGCGCACCTGCTGCCCAGCCCAGAGATGACACCAGGTAACTATTTTTTGAATGAATAACTGACTCCAGTCCCCCATGTGCATGGCCAAGACACGCACACTCAGCTCTAGCCTTGAGGTGGTGTCGGTCCATTTCCTCATCATTTTCCGTGGCCAGGCAACTTGCAATCTGTACACTGACTTCACCTTTTCCCTCCCAAGCACAACCCCAGCCTGAATATACCCCCTTCCAAGAGGATGGTGTCTCCATCCAGCCAAAAGCCTCAGTGTCGTCTTTGCCCTCTCTTATACCCCACCCATACCCCGAGCATGTCCTATCAATTTTCCTTCCTATTTCCCAAATCCCTCAACAGATCTCCACCTTTGCTGCCACCACTCCAGCCCAGCCCACTGTCTCTCATGCCCAAAATACCTTCCTTGTTTCCCCCAGCCTTTCTGGCCTTCCTTCATCCACTTCCACGTAGCAGCTAGAATGGTCACGTCCTTTCCACACTGGTCATGGAGAGCCATGGGGCCTTCTTCACTCCCTCCCTATCTGAAACACTCCTCCTTCCTCTTTCTACCTAGTTCCCTGCAACTCATTCAGACTCACTTAAGTGTCACCTCCTCCAGGAAGCTCTCCCAGATTCCCTCCAACCAGGCAAACCCTCTGATATGGTCTCTTATTAACACCCATTAAAGTTTGTATTAAATGAATGTGAGCTTATCTCTGTGATTGCTTGATCGAAGCCAGTCTCACCAAGGAGGCTGCGAGCAACTCTGAGGCAGGATCATGCCTGCTTCACTCACTATGGTTCACTCCCTGCTGAGCACTGCGCCTAACACTTGGCAGGTGCCCAATAACCATTAACTAAATTAATAAACATTCAATGAAGAGGCAAACTGGGCACCCCAGGTAATTCCAAACCACAAGTAACCCAAAGTGGAACTAGACTCTGGATTTGGGCTTCGCCCTCAGACACGGACTGCAGCGGGCCGCGGGGCTGCCAGCCTGGGTCCTGGCATGAAAAGCCAGGAGCAGCCTCTTCCCCAAGATGGGGCGGGACACGCAGTTCCAGAGATGACCAACAGGTGGCGAAGTAGCGCCGCCCGGGGCAGCGCGCAGTCAGGGGCCCTGCAATTGTCAATTGCCAAATGGGAGGTTGGGAAACTAGGCAGGCCGGGTGTCTGTGTGTCTGTGTGTGTGTTGGGGTGGGGGCGGAGGCTCCCCGACAATCAGCTGAGCCTCTAGCCAGAAAAACATGGAGGGGCAGATCCAGGTTTTGTGAGATCTGGATTAAGTCCGGGGCTTTAGAAAGGACCACAGCAAGAGGTGGTGCCTGTGGCTCAAGGAGTAGGGCGATAGCCCCATATACCGAGGGTGGCGGGTTCAAGCCTGGCCCCTGCCAACACTGCAAAAAAAAAGAAAGAAAGAAAGGACCACAGCGGGCAAGGGGCCCTAAAGCTTGATTTGCACGATAAGCTCCAGGTGATTCTCCCTCTACACACCCACCTACATACACACACTACAATTTTAGGAACCCACTCCCAAGCCTAACTTAGGGTCCCCCACCTACTCTCATGCACAGACACACACTCCTCTGGCAGTTTTCATATTAGGCTAAGATACCCCCGCCCCCAATCTTGAGCTTGGAGAAGCTGGAAGCCTGGAAAAGCCCAGCGCAGCACTGCTCTGCCCCGGGAAGTCAGAAGCACCATCGCTCATTTCATGGGATTTGTTCTGCCTCAAGGCTCCCCCTTTTGCCTAGTCAACTTGGTGAGCCATTTGACTAGGGCTTAAATGTAGGATCTCTCCAAATGAAATTATTTTCACTGTCACTGAATTATTCTGGGGGCACAGAGGAGCCCTGTCGCTCCCCAACTCTAAGCTTGTGGCCCCAAACAAGGCCACATAATCTGTCCAGGCACCAGGAAAAAAAAAGTTTTTTTTTGAGACAGAGTCTCAAGCTGTTGCCCTGGGTAGAGTGCTGTGGCATCATAGCTCGCAGCAACCTCCAACATGGGTTCAGAGATCCTCTTGCCTCTGTTTTTCTATTTTTAGTAGAGACAGGGAGTCTCGCTTTTGCTCAGGCTGGTCTCAAACTCATGAGCTCAAGTGATCCACCTGCCTGGGCTGGCCTCCCAGAGTGCCAGGATTACAGGCATGAGCCCCTGTGCCCAGACAAATAAATGTTTTATAAACTCAGTAATTCTTTTCTGACAGACAGAATGAACTGCATCGTATTGTTTCGGTGATAAGAACCAGGTTGGTAAAGGTATATGTGAACAAGCTACCTCAGATTTGGTCACCCTGTTTGGGTACTTAATTTAAAGCAACTGAAGTCTCAAGAAATGTCCTCTCCTGTCCTCTCTGAAGCTTCCTCAGGCCTAGGCCTTCCTTAGACAGGGCCTTCTTTGTAGCGTGCGCAATTCCTGACATTGTATACTGACGTGTGGGATCATGTGGCCAGGTCTTATGGCTCACCTGGTGCCCAGCACACGGTAGGCAGCAGATTGGGCTGGAGGACCTCACAGGCCAGCTTGCTATTTACTGGTAAGGCCTGGGGCGGCAGAGGGCGCTGGTGCCCTGAGGTGGGTGTTTCAAGCCTAGAGGAGGCTGGAGAGTGCACTCTCTGGGCCTGGGCTTTAGCCTCAGGAGGCAAGTCCTAAAGCCAGGATGCCCTAAACCTGGGGGTGGGCAGACCCTGAGACAACAGGGGTCCGGCACTTCTAGGGATGATCTTTCCTTGGAGGCCAGGTCTACACTGCTATTATTTCCTAGTTTATGGTTTATATGATTATTTCTCAGAGAGGCCACACATTCCTTAAATGGTGGAGCTGGGATCTGAATCCAGGTGGGTAGATTCTGCTTACCTACTTCACTAACCTTTTCATAAATAAAGACCAGAGGAATGAATGAATAAGTAGATGGCCAAAGCCTAGGGAGGTTAAGTAATATAGTGAAGGATACACAGGACCAGACTCCCTATCCAGTACTGGTCCAGGACAATGCAGTCCACTGACCCAAGGGAAGATGCTGAGGAAAAGGGGGCTCCCAATGCCAGGCATCCCCCCCAACCCCTGTCTGGCCTGTCGGCTATGACAGCTTGGGTGGCTCACCCCGGAACTCCTCATCAGTCAGGCGCTTCTTGTGGGTCAGCAGGAAGGGGAGCAACCCATCCAGGTCAGCCGTGGAGCCTCGGGACACGATGTCAAAGAGGATGGGCCGGTTGAAGACTTTGAGGATGGGTGGCGGCTGGGGAGCGGGGGCTTTGGGGCTCTGTGGCTGCTTCCTGGAGGGGATGGGGAAGCAGGGAGATGGGAGGGTTCATGTCCTGCCTACCCCACAGTCCCTGGCCTCAGGGGTCCAGGGCTTGGGGGGGTAGCTGAAGCTCTAGGGAGGACCAGACTGAGTGGGAAAGGATAGCTGGAAACTCCAAGGAATGTTTTATCCAGCAAATTAATGCCAGTAATGGTAGAAAGATATACACAAGCCAGCCCATTCATCCACCCACCTATTCATCCAATTATACATCTACCCATCCATCCATCTACCCATCCATCCACTCAACCATCTACCCATTCATCCAACTGTCCATCCACTCACACTTCCATCCATCCATCCATCTATCCATCCACTCACCCATCTACCCATCCACCCATCCATCCACTCACCATCAATATGTCCACTCACCCATCCAACCACTTATACTTCCACCCATTCATTCATCCATCCATCTACTCACCCATCTATCTATCCATCTATCCTTTCACTCACCCACCCACCCTGCTCCCTATCATCCATCCATCTATCCATCCATCCACTCACCCACCCACCTATCCATTAGTCATTTATTGAGTACTTACTAAGGCAGACAAAGACTGAAAGAGACAAAGACAGAGAGAAAACAGGAGAAGTAGGCTAAAAAATAAAGCTGGCTGGGTGCGGTGGATCACACCTATAATCATAGACCTCTGAGAGGCTGAGCTGAGCGGATCCCTTGAGCTCAGGAGTCCGAGACCAGCCTGAGCAAGAGCTAAAAGTAGAAAAATTAGTTGGTCACTGTGGCGGGTGCCTGTAGTCCCAGCTACTACAGAGGCTGATGCCGAAGGATCACTCAAACTCAGGAGTTTGGGGTTGCTGTAAGCTAGGCTGAGGCCACAGCACTCTAGTCTGGGCAAAAGAGTGAGACTCTGCCTCAAAAAAAAAAAAAAAAACTGTAAAAGATAAAGCATCTCGTTCATTCATTCCATAACTCACTCATTAACTTATTCATTTAACAAACATTTGAGACAAACGAGGCCAAGCTCACAGGTACTCGCACAGGGCCTACCACAAATGTTAGCTGATATTACCATTATCAGTGAGCACCTACTGTGTGTCTGGAGCTTCCACCTAGTGTGTGTCTGATGTTGAGCTACAGAGCAGGTGCAAGAAGATCACGACAGAGAAAGTCAGGAAATAGACACTAAAAGAAGGAGGGTTTGGAGACATTCAGTTATTCATCAAACATTAATTGGACACCTATTATGTGCTAGGTCTGAGAGAGAAAGAGGTAGCCTGCGGTCATCATGACGGCAGAAGTCCCCCTTCTCTGTCAAGTTCTCACTTGGCCCAGTGCTTGGTACACCTTGGGGTACAGAAGGAATCTGTGAACTGAATGAAAGGATGGAGAGAAAGATGGAAGCAGAGTCTGGGAGCAAGAAGAGCAGAGAGGAAAGGAGCAGAGAATAAACCCTGATAAGAGGAAGCGGGGCCAGAGGGGAAGCAGGAATGCAGCCAGGGAAACGGAGGCCAGGTCAGGTTGCAGGGCTGGTGGGATGGGGCTGTGAGGGCAGACCAAGCTGGCATCTGGCTGTACCCAGCATATCTCACCACCAGAAGGGGACAGCCACTCTCTGGCTTTCCTCTGCCCAGGAATGAAACTTTCCACTTCAAGGCAGGTGCCAGAGAGGGCACTGGGAGGGAGGTCTTTGGCACCAAAGGTAGGATAAGAGGGGCTGTCCTGTCAAAAGGGGTGCAAAGACTGGTACAGCCTCTAATGAGGATACCTCGGCAGCCCCTTCTTTATCAGCTTCTAAACTTTGACCTTTAAGTCAAAAATAAAAAAAAAAAAATGCTACCCCCCCCAGACCTCACTAGGCCTCACACCCCCATGCCCAAATTGCTGAAAGCTTGCAGAAGTCCCTGGAGGGAGGGTTCAGTCTCACAAGATATGAGACCTTTGGGGTCTCTGAAGACCTCAGGTGCTCAGCCACACCTGAGATATCCCTTGCCTCGGGTGGGGAGGAGAGCTTGAGGAAAGGAAGGGAAAACATGGAGCCCACCAGCTTCCAACAGGACCCTGGAGGACCTGCAGACAGAGTGACAGGGGAACACCTAGGCACCTCTGAACAGAAATTGCAGAGGCTGCAGACGGCCCCTCCAGCCCTAGCATTCACATCTCTCTCCACTTGGGATATCCCTTCCCCATCTCTTCGTCTGCCCCATCTCAGCCCCTAGCTTTGGGCTCAAATGTTTCTTGGAGGGTTTCCTCCAAGAAGCCCTCCTGGATTACCATTCCTGTATCCTTTCCCCTCCAACCTCAGCCCCTCCCCGCAACTCCAAATGCACATTCATGTGCTCATTCCCTTGCCTATTGCCTGTCTTACCCACGAAACTAAAGGTGCCACAATAGGGGAAGAAACTGACCCAACTCCCAGGCCCAACCCCACTGCCTGGCACATAGTGAGCACTCAAGAAATGTCCATGAGTGAATCAGAGACTCAGTTTACAAAGAGGATAGCTCCTGACCAAGCAAGGACTGAGATGGTGCATGGGCTCCATCTAAGAGCATAAATGAATCCATAGCAAGGGAGAGAGGGTGGGACCGGGCAGTTACAGGACACCTTCAGACTTCAGGACAGCCTCCATGATACACACACAGAGGGGTTTTCAGGAAGCAGCTGAGGAAAGGAGGTGGTGTCAGACTGGGACAATTCAGGGTACGTTGGGACCTAGATAGGATCACATGCTGACTACACTTTCTCAGCAGGAGTGGAGGCTCCGAGAAGTGACCTTGAGACTATTAAGCCTCACACCCCCATGCCCAAATTGCTGAAAGCTTGCAGAAGTCCCTGGAGGGAGGGCTCAGTCTCACAAGGTAGGGGACCTGCAGGTGACAGGGTCATGCTGGAAACAGAGTCCTGGGTGGCTGGGTTTATAGAATGCCACACAAACCACATGCAGACACCCAGCAAATGTCTATCAGTCTAGAGTCCTGGCTGCAGGACTCAGCAGAACCTGCTGGGGGAAGGATGAGATCCAGACAAGGTGGTCTGGGAAAGCAGAGGCTCCCTGTTCTTAGATAGGCCTGGCAAAAAATGCATCATAGGGGCCACACGCTGTTACCCCATCTCTAAGGGCTTCACCCCACTCTTCTTTCCTTTCAGCCAGTCCTCCTTTAAGGGAGTTAATGCCTCAGGGCTTGTGACCTTCTCAAAGTCCTAGGAAAACCACTGGATGCCCAGGAATGAAGGTGATACTTGGAGAAGACCAGAGGGGCAGCTGGGTGTATGCCAGGAGAAGAAAGCAAATGGATAAATGGATGGATGGATGGATGGATGAATAGATGGGGAAATGGGTGAAAAGATGAGTAAACGCATGAATGAGTTAGTGACTAAGCAAATAAATGAGTGAATGAACAAATGGGCAGACAGCTGGAGAAATGTACTGGTAGTTAGAAAGAGAGAAAAGAGGCTCAGCATCTATAGCTCAAGCGGCTAAGGTGCCAGTCACATACACCAGAGCTGGTGGGTTCGAATCCAGCCCAGGCCTACCAAACAACAATGACAACTACAACCAAAAAATAGCCGTGTGTTGTGGTGGGCGCCTGTAGTCCCAGCTACTTGGGAGGCTGAGGCAAAAGAATCACTTAAGCCCAGGAGTTGGAGGTTGCTGTTAGCTGTGATGCAACAGCACTCTACCCAGGGTAAAGGCTTGAGACTCTGTCTCAAAAAAAAAAAAAAAAAAGAAAAGAAAAGAAAAGAAAGAGAGAGAGAAAAGAAAGAAGGAAGGAAGGCAAGTAATCAAGCATTAGACAGGTAATTAATAAATGAACGACAAATAGTTTGATAGATAGCTGAATGGCTAGATGAATAGAAACAGTGGGTAGATGGGAGGATGAATGCACGGACATTTGGATGAGTAAATGGTAGATGAATGGAAGATTGGTTGTATGGGTGGGTGTACGGATAGAGAGATGGATGAGAGATGAATGGGTAGACAGATACATGTATTTTAATGCATGGATGGTGGGTAGATGGATTGGACAAGTGGATGGACAGTGGAAAGATGGGTATCTAGATGATTGGGTGCATAGATGATGAATGAATGGAGAGGTAAATAGCAGTATAAATAAGGGGATGATATTGAACAAATGTTTGGCTATGTGGGTAGATAGATGGACAGACAAGTAGATGGATAGGGGCATATAAGGATAGGTGGATTAAAAAAACAGATGAATGAATGTAGAGATGGATGAGTAAACAATTGTATATAAATTAGTGGGTGGATGGATAGAGTATAGATAAACATACAAATGAAAAGATGGGTAGATGGATGGATGGGTAGATGAATGGATGATGAATGGATGGTGGCATGGATAGATGATGGCTGATGGAAAATGAATGATGGATAGATGGATGGATGACGGATAGATGGATGGATGGATAACTGATGGCTGATGAGTGAATGAGTAGACAGATGAGTGTATGGATGATGGTCAGACAGTGGATAGATGATGGATGAATGGATGGATGGATGGATGGATGACAGTCAGATAATGGATAGATGATGGATGATGGACAGATGGATAGATGGATGAACGAATAGATGGATGATGGATGGAGAATGGATGTATGGATAAATGATGGATGATGGACAAATGGATGATGGATGGAAAATGGATATATGATAGATGATGGACAGATGGATAGATGGATGAATGGGTGGATGGATAATGGATGGCAAATGGATGGATAGATGAATGAGGGACAGATGGATGATGGATGGATAATGGACAGATAATGGATGGATAGATGATGATGATAGATAGGTGATGGATAATGGATGGGTGGATGACAGATGATGGATGAGTAGATGAAAGAGTGAATGGATGTGTGGATGATGGATGAATGAGTGTATGAATGATGGCTGCTGGTGGATGGGTGGATGATGGATGATGGATGAATAAAGGATAAGAGATGGATGAGTAGATAGATGAATGATAGATGGATGGATGATGCATAGATGGATGATGGATGGATGAGTGGATAGATGGACCCAGTACAAAGGGGGACACCACTGCCCACGTCCAGCAATACTCACTCTATGACCTTCCTTCTCCACCGCTTGTTGTCACTGGGGTGGTGGCGATAGGTGCCATAGTCAAATAGCGAGTCCATAGGTGCTTTCTTTGGCCCAGGCACCACCGAGGACTCATACAGGGTAGACTCCAGCAGGTCAATAGGGTTGGGCACCCCCTTGCGGAAGGCGCCCTGGAACTTCATGCGCAGGTTTGGTCGACCATCACCTGGTCCAGGAGGGCGACCCACATCTGCCGGAGGCGAAGGAGAGCCATCCTCTCCCTCAAACAGATTGGCCAGAGAGGAAAGGGGGAAGGCCTCCCCACCAGGGGTGCCACCGTCATCCCCAGGGGGCTCAGCCACCTCTGCAGGCCCTCCACGGGGGCCTTCGCTGGAATCCGCCATGCCGGCCCCAGACCTGTATTCACTGCTCAGCCTGCAAGGGAACAAGAGGGAGTCAGGCAGAGCTCAGCCAGTGGCGGGGACTCCAGGAAGCCCCCCTCACGTGGACAAGTAGCACTGCTGCCAGCTGCTTCAAAGCCACCGTTGTAATGACAGGGGCGCGGGGTGGCCACTCCCAAATGTGGTTGGCTGCCAGCCTCAGGCAGGAACTGCAACAAGAGCTTCTTTCAGGAACCTGAAAACACAAGCTGGCCTCAGGTCCAACTACCCTGGGCATGGTGGGAAGAGGACAGGCCTCAGAGTCACACTGGGTCCCCAGACCTACAGCCTAGGGCCTATAGCTAACCCACCAAGCCAGATTCGGAGCCACATGGAGCAGGATTCAAATACAGGCTCCACATTTAGCCACTGCGTGATGTTAGCCCAGTTGACATGGCACAGACCCAGTTTCCCCATCTGTGAAATGGGGACGTCTAAGCCTCCCAAGGAAAACTAGCAGAGAACATCCATCCCAGTGGACAGTGCAGCACCCAGCACATAGTAAGCACTTACTGAAGCAGAATCATTAACCATGCGCTCCAGGCATAGGAGGTGCTCAGAAAATACATGTGAAGCTCTTGTGTGGGCCCCTAGTCCTCATCTAATGCCATCTGGGTGGTCCCCATTTTACAGAGTAGGAAACTGAGGCTCTGGAACATTCGTGGACTTCCTGACATGCACACATACTCTGCTCCCCAGTGCAAAGTGCTGGTCCTTTCCCTCTCTTTTTTGCTTGGTTAATTCCTACCCACTTTTGTGCCAGCTCAATTGTCTCTTCCTCCAAGAAGTCCTCCCTGACCCTCCCGCACTCACTGTCAGGCTCCACGCCTCTCTCCTTGGAGGTTTTATCCCAGTTGTTTCCAGGTTAGGTAATTCCCAGGCTGTGAGTGTCAGGACATTGGAGGTAGCAAACACATCTGTCACGTTCACCCGAGTTCCCAACACCTAAGGCACCAAGTGGACAACTTCAGCAAAAGTGTCATTGGTTCCCATTTCTCAGATGAGGAAAGTGGGCTTTCGGGAGAGGCAGTCGTGTGGCTTGTGGGGGGCAGAGCTGGACTTGAAACAGGTCTCTCTGGCTTCCAGGCACAACGTTTAGCCAGGAGCAAGGACACAGGAGGGACAAGGCCCTGCTGGTCACCCGCAGGCCCCTGCCCTCTGCAGCACACTGTTGGCCAAGTGGGGCAGCGACAGCAAGTTTCCTGGAACTCTGACCATCCCTGGAGGGAGGCCAGGCTCTCTGAAAAGCCCTCTCTTGTATGTCTCCTCCTCCCTGCCTGACACGTACGTAGAAGAACAAATAAACTGGTTCCCACCTTGTTTGTTCTGCGGCTTCCAGGAGGGAAGGCTTGGACCAGAGAGGTGAAACACCACAAGAGGCCTCCCCGGAGGGTGTAACAGTATGCACAGAGGATCTGAGTTCCTGGCAGGGCTAGCTCCCCCCAGACACCAACAGAGAGGGAGAGCCTGGACTTTGGAGGCATTCAGGCCTGGGTTCTAATCCCAGCTCTGCTATTTACATGGAATGTGACCTTAGCCAAGTCGCTCGAATTCTACTAGCTTCAGTTTCCTCCTCTGAAAAGTGGATGTGATTGCAATAGCTTCTTCATTGGGTTGTAGGCAGTGGTAAATGACATCAGACACATCCAGAGCTACCCCTGGGATTCAATGGGGTGGCTGTCAATGATTATAACCAAAGGAGAAAGGAAGGATTAGAAACACAGTTTCTGAAATCAGCCAGACCTGGTTTCTCTCTTGGCCCTGGTAATTAGCAGCTATGTGGCTGTGTGCAAATCACCCCATCTATAACACTGGAATGACCACATCTCTTCCTGGGGTCCTCAGGTATATGAGGCACCCGCTCAATACCTCGGGACCTCTGGAGACATCAGGCCTCATCTATCTGCCAGGTAGGAGAAGGAGACCCGGACCCTCTCAGCCCCTTGTGGCTGCCATATGAGTTTGGACTTTGCTGTGCAGGAATGGGGTGCATGTTAAGGCAGGAGGGACAACTATAGGACCCAGGCACTGAGGGAGCAGACTAGACTCCTCCAAGCATAGCCCTGTCTGCCTCATTGGGGATCTGAGGTTGGGGCAGAAGAGATGTCTGGCATATCACCATGGCACCCCCAGGGCCTAATGGAACCCCCACCAGGAAGGAAGCAGAAGATCCCTCTAGTTTCCCCCACCACCACGCCTGCACCTCCTTCCCTAAGGAGCCCCAACCTGGACAGCATCCCAGGTTTCTGGCAGCTCCAACATGGGGGGTTTGGGAGTCAGCCAGCCCCAGGTTCATCCCCTCTCAGCTACTTGCAACCTCGTTGGCTGCTGCATAGCCTCAAGTAAGTCACATAGTGATTGAGGTCAGCATCCTAGTGAGAATAAAATAATAATTTCAAAATAAATTGCCATCATCACTGTAACCGTGTTGTTCCTTCTGTGCCAGGCACAGGGCAAAGTGCTTTGCCATTCTTGAAGGGATACTAAACCAGTGGTTCTCAATGGGGCTGGTCCTGCACCCCCCAAACCAGAGACATTTAGCATCTGATAACATGTTTGGTTGTATGAGGAAGAGAGAGTGCTGCTGGCACCTAGTAGGTTAAGGCCAGGGGATGCCACTGACATCCAAGACACAGGACAGCCTTGTGCCTCAAAGAATGATCCAGCCCAAAATATCAATAAGGCTGAAGTTTCAAAACCCTGCCCTGGAGGTACTGCTAGCATTCCCATCTTATAGATAAGGAAATTGAGACTCAGGAGGATAAGTGACTTGCCTAAGGCTACACAACAGGTTGGTGACAGTGGTAGGATTTCAATTCTGTCAGTCAGCTGCAGAGCCCAGGCTACCTGGGCTGTTGACTGCACATGTTCTGGGTGCCACATACCATGCCAAGCCCTTGCGGCACCTCATTCAACATTCACAACCACCCTGAGTGGTAAAAATTATTACTATCAACCGTTCTAATCTCCCTGAGCCTCAGTTTCTCTACCTGTAAGACAGGGGGTACAATAACAGCCCCTACATTGTAGGGCTCCTATGAGATGAGACAGATCAAGTATCAGTTGGGCATCTAATAAACACTTGATAAGTATTGGTTGTTGTCAAATTTAATCATCATCACCAGCATGATTTGGTCCTGACCTGGCTGTCCTCCCCCACTTCCCTATCCCCACACACGACACACACAGCCATACTAAGCCTGGCATTTGGGTTAACACCCACCAAACCCCTCCCAGCCTCTCTCTGATCTAATCCCCCAAGAACATGGTGAGCAAATCGAGGCTACTGCTCCTATACAGAGGCTCCCATAACGAGGCCACCCAGGGAGCAAATGGCCTTGAAGAAATCCCCTGGACTTCAAACCCTGGGCTCCTTACACATCACACCACGCAAGAGGGTGCGCACACCAGCTTGCCTAAACCCACACGCACACATATGTACACATGTGCACACGCACAGAGCCAGCTCCACTGCTCCGGGGCAATTCCCTCTGAAAACACTGCCCTGTTCTCTGTGGTTGGGGAAAGAGTTCACTCCCTGTTCTAATTTGCCCTGAAGGCTGTTATTACACATTCCAGACTCATGCCAGGCTTAGGAGGGAAGGCAGCGCACAGGCAGGGAGACAAGCCGAGAGTCCGGGTACAGATCCGCATGTGTCTCCCCTGCCTGTAACTGTTGGGTATGTTTCTTCTTTCTCTATGTGGCATGCATGGGCTTGTGGCCACCGTGAGCAGGCATCCGGGGAACTTTGGGCCCCCCACCAGCTCACTGATACCTCCTACAGAGAGTGCTTGGGAGGCAAGCAGCTCCCAGCTGGCGCTAGGTGTGCCTTGGGGGTGAACCAAGGACATCGGTGTGTGATTGTGGACATCCCACACAGCTGCATTCACTCCAAACAGCAGTTTTCAAATGTTCTTGTTTTAAGCACTCAAGACCTTTTTTGAAGAAAAGAAAAAGAAAAAAATATATATGTACACACAAGGTGTCCATAAAGTTTATGTGCAATTTACGAATTGCACACGAACTTTATGGCACCCTGTTTGTATGTATATACTAGATGGTGGTCCACACGCAGTTGGTGGCTATGGTCGAGTGGGGAGAACGACTTGGATCTCAGGACCCAGGGAGCAGGAGTAGAAACCAATCATCTATTCACTTATTCCACAAATGCTTACTGAGCACCTACTGTGTGCCAGGTACTGTGCTAGGTACTGGGGACACACGTCAACAAAATGGACATAAATCCCTCCTGGGCGGCCTGGCCTTCTGGTGGGGAAATAAGATAAACAAGACAAAACAAGGAGCAGAGTTGCATCCAGTGGTGTCCAGACCCGTGTGGACCAGAAGGGTTCAGGGGTGGCTGAGTTAAGGGGTGAAGGGGTCCTGAGCTGGGTGAAGAGATACAGGGCTGAGCCGGGGTCACCAAGCCTTCCTTTCTGCCCTGGACAAGGGTCCCAGGCTTTCTGGGAACACAGCCTTTCTGTTCTCACATCCTACTGAGCCAGTGGGGCACAGAAAAAGCATGTGACTTGACATGAGACCAGAGGGTCAGAGCCCAGGACCACTGCTCATTAGCTGGGTGAGCTTGAACAAGTTGCTCAGCCTCTCTGAGCTCACTCTCCTCACCTGCGATGGGGCTCGTAAGAGGAGTGTTGTGAGTCTATCAGGTGAATCACATGGGTGGCACAGAGTAAGCTCTCAATCAACTGCAAACTGCATGACAGGTACTTTCTCTCTGAGAATCCCAGATTCAACAGAGGTGGATGGCTTGGACTCACTCCATCCTCCTGCCTCTTGCTCATGAAGGCTGGAAGGAGGGATCCATCCTCGAGGTTACCCGAGGCTTTGCCTGATCTCATGGAAACCCTGGCGTATATTTGTCAAATCCTATCCTCCTGATTACATGACCAAGGAAAGCTGCTTAAATCTGGGGACAAGTTTGGGCATGCAGGGCTGCTCTACCTAGGGGGAAGGATTTCAGAGAGCTGGTTTCTCCAGACTCTTTCCCTTCTGAGATCAATTCACTTCAA